CGGCAACGCCATCAAGTTCACCGAGGTCGGCTCCGTCACCGTCCGCGTCGCCCTCGAGAACCGCGACGACGAGCCGCGGCTCCGCATCGACGTCGCCGACACCGGCATCGGCATGAACGAACGCCAGCGCGCCGCCGCCGCGGAGTTCAACGCGTTCGCGCAGATGGACGCCTCCGCCACCCGGAAATTCGGCGGCACCGGTCTCGGGCTCCGCATCTCGCGCGCCCTCAGCAGGCTCCTCGGCGGCACGCTCTCGTTCGAATCCGAGTTCGGTCGCGGCAGCACCTTCACCTTCACCGTCGACCCCGGGCCGATCGAGAACGCCGAGTTCATCGACATGCCCATCCCCTGCTGCGTGCCACGCGAGACGGGCACGCCCCGCCCCGCGACGCCCGCCGGCGTGCGCCTCGACGGCCTGCGCGTCCTCTTCGCCGAGGACGGCCCGGACAACCAGCGGCTCATCGGCTTCCAGCTCGAGAAAGCCGGCGCCCAGGTCACCCTCGCGAGCAACGGCCTCGAGGCGATCGAGCGATTCGAAGAGCGCGCCGGCAGCGAGACGCCGTTCGACATCGTCCTCATGGACATGCAGATGCCCGAGCTCGACGGCTACGAGGCCACCCGCGAGCTGCGCCGGCGAGGCCACACACTCCCCGTCGTCGCCGTCACCGCGCACGCCATGGACGGCGAGCGCGAGCGCTGCCTCGACGCCGGCTGCGACGGCTACCTCTCCAAGCCCATCCCCCGCGCGACGCTCCTCGAAACCGTCAGCGACGCCGTCACGCGGACCCGCGCCGAGGCCGCCTGATCCCCGAAGATCACGGGCACGGGCCGAACAGGAACAGCGCCGTCACCAGGTCGTTGAAGTCGATCGTCCCCGAGCCGTCCGCGTCGCACGCGCCGGTCCCCGGCCCGAACTCGAACAGCATCGACACCAGGTCGTTGAAGTCCACCACGCCGGACCCGTCGCAGTCGCCGTCGCACACCAGCACGCCCACCGTGCCCGTCAGCGTCACCGTCAGCGGGTGGCCCTGCTCGAACCCGTCGATCGCCCGATCGTCGAACACGTCGATCACGTACGTCGCGAGGAAATCGCCCGCGACGCCGTCGTCGAGCGTGAACTCGATCATCGCCGCCGCGCCGGCGGGCAGCGCGTCGACGCCCGCGAACGCCGTCGTGATCCGCCCCGTGTCGCCCGACGAGCCGCCGAGCTCCGCGTCGAGCCCGGCCGTGAAGCCCGCCGTCGACTCGAGGTTGTGGATCATGAACTGCACCGTCGCGTCGCCCTGACCGAGATCGATCTCGCCGAAATCCGCGGACACGCTGTTCACGTCGCTCGACGGCTCGAACGACCCGTTCGCGCGGTCCAGCACCGCCAGCGTCACCGTCGCGGTGTCGTCCGCGTCGTTCGCCCCGCGACCCGCGCCGCCCATCGTCGTCACGTCCAGGTTGTCCACCGTCACCGTCCCGGACACCACGCCCGCGCTCAGCCCCGCGAGCGGGTCGAGCGTGAGCGCGATCTCCCGCGAGTCCGCCCCCGCGCCCGTCATCGGGAACGCGTTGTACCGACCCGCGTCCGGCGAAACGACCGAGCCGCTCGTCGAGATCTCGAAGTACGTCCCGTCCTCCCCGTCCTTCTCCAGCGTCACGCTCAGCACTGAGGAGCCCGCCAGATCGACGAACACCGCCCCGAGATCGACCACCACGTCCGAACCGCCGTCCGGATCCGGCGCGCCGAAGCTCAGACGCGTGTCGTTGTCCTGCCCCTGGTACACCGACCACACGAACTCCGGGCGGTCGACGTACGCGTTGCGGTTGCTCGTGAAGAACGCCGGGTTCTCGCTCTGCGTCGCGATCACGTGGTTGCGGCGGAGCTCAAAATGGTCCGGCACATCCTCGTAGTGCCACGCGATCAGGAAGTCGAGGTTCCCCATCTGGTTCGCCCCCGGCGAATCGCTCCGCACCAGCGAGAGCCCCAGCTCCGGCCCGTACCGCGTGTCAGAGTAGAACAGGCACCGCGCCATATCGCCCCGGTCCGCGAGCCCAGGGTCCCAGCCGCCACCGCCGAACGGACCGCCGTCGTTCAGGCTGAACGCCAGGTTCCCCCGCGCCCCGTTCACGCCCGGGTTGACCGGGCGGAGCGCGTGCGGGTCGCCCAGGTTCCCCGTCGTCGAGTTGTTCGCCGAGCCGGGCTGCAGAGACTGCGGCCACACGTGCTCGCGGTTCCACGTCACGCCGCTGTTCCACACCCCGCTGACCGACTGCCGGTTGTACACCAGCAGGATGTTCCCCGGAGTGTCCGGGTCCGCGTCGTGCAGCATCGCCGAGTTCCGGAAACTGCCGTAGTTGCGCTGGACGTGCCCGGTGCGCATCGCGTCGTAGAGCTGGCCCTTGAGCGTCGCCCCCGTCCCCGTCGCGCCGGAGTAGTACCCGGCAGGCGGGTCGAACTGCGCCGAAGCGCACGCCCCCGCGACCGAGACCACCAGCGCACCGCACACGAACATCCCGCTTCTCTTCATCTCGTTCTGCTCCAAATTCAGGCGATCGGCGAGGGACGCACCGCGATCCCGTCGCCACGGCGCCCACGCAAGCTCTCCAACGAACCCGCCGCGGACACGACGGGCCACTGTATACGCATCGCCCGCAGAATCGGAGCCCCTCTCCTGTCAAATTCACGCGCGAATCCCCCGAATTTCCCCGCGTCCGAGAACATTCGCCCTTCGCGAGCGAGGGAATACCGCCCCGATCCCGTGTGTTGGCCTCACAGAGGCCGAATTTCCCGTATTCATTGATCCGGAGCCCTCGCCGAACGTATCCTTCTCCGGGAGATCACTGGCAACGCACCGCCATCCGATCGATACAAGAACCAGCCCATGCGTCGACTCACCCGCACAACCCGCCTCATCGCCTCGCTCCTCGCGCTCGCGCTGATGCTCCCCAGCGCCGCCCTCGCCGCGGGCCCGTGCTGCTGCATCGAAGAATCTCAGGCCACCGAAACCGGTGAGCCCTCGGCGCCCACCTGCTGCGCCGTCTCGTCGCACAACGACGATTCCGACGGGCAGACCGACGCGCCCGAAGACGACCGCGCCCCCTGCACCGACTGCAACTGCCCCGGCCCCTGCTGCATGGTCGCCAAGACGCCCATCGACAGCACGCCGACCGACACGGCGCCGCGCCCCGCGAACGCCACCGATCACGACCGCCCGACCGCCGACCGCTTCGACGACGACGGCGCAGCGTTCGAGCTGATCCACCCCCCCAGAGCCTGAGTGAACCGACCGCGCCACCCGTGCGCGCCGAACTGTCCGTCCGCGCCCTTTTCGCGGACGCGTTGACACGTCGAATCACACCCAGAGCCCACCCATGACACAAGAACCCCACACCGGCGCGCCGGTGCGCGCGCCGCGCCAATCCCGCTGGCCGCTCATCGCGGTCGCCGCGCTCGCCCTGATCCTGGGCGGGATGGTCGTCTCGACCGCGAGCGACACCCTCCGCCCCGCGCCCACCGTGCGCGTCGTCCCCGTCGTCGCCGCGCCGACCGAGGACGCCCCCGCCGAGTCGAAACCGGCGGACGCCCCGCGCTCCACCGTCACCGTCCAGGCCCCCGGCTGGATCGAGGCCGACCCCTACACCACCGCCTGCACAGCGCTGGCCGAGGGCGTCCTCGAAACCATCCACGTGCTCGAAGGCCAGCGCGTCGAGGCCGGCCAGCTCGTCGCGACCCTTGTCAAGGACGACGCCAAGCTCGCCCTCGACCGCGCGACAGCCGAACTCGCCACCGCGCGAGCCGAGCTGGAAGCCGCCGAGACCGACTGGGACAACCCCGTCCAGCGCGTCCGCGCCGTCGAGTTCGAGCGCGCCGAGCTCGCGGAGACCGAGGCCCAGCTCGCCCAGCTCCCCGCCCTCATCGCCGCCGAGCGCGCCATGCTCGAGCGCATGCAGGAAGACCTCGCCCGCCTCGAGAACGCCCAGAGGTCGAATGCTGCGAACGCCTTCGAGGTCGTCATCCGGCAAAAGGACGTCGACCGCCAGCGGGCCCTCCTCGACGCCGTCACCCAGCGCCGCCCCATCCTCGAGGCGCAGGTCGCCCGAGAGCGCGCCAAGCTCAAGGCCGCCGAGCGCGAGTACGAACTCCGCGTCGAGGAGAAACGCGCCCTCGACTCGGCCCGCGCGACCGTCGCCAACCACGAGGCGCGCGTCGCCGAAGCCGAGCTCCGCCTGAGCCGCATGGACATCCACGCGCCGATCTCCGGCCTCGTCCAGAAGCGCCTCAAGCGCCCGGGCGACAAGGTCATGCTCGACAACGACTCCGAGCACTCCGCGCACCTCGTCCACATCTACGACCCCGAAGACCTCCAGGTCCGCGTCGACGTCCCCCTCGCCGACGCGTCGCACGTCTCCGTCGGCCAGAAGTGCGAGGTCGTCGTCGACGTCCTCCCCGACACCACGTTCAAGGGCGAGGTCACCCGCATCACCCACGAGGCCGATCTCCAGAAGAACACCCTGCAGATCAAGGTCCGCGTCGTCGACCCGCCGCTCATCCTCAAGCCCGAGATGCTCACCCGCGTGAAGTTCCTGCCTGACTCGCCCGTCGCGAGCGGGGGAGCAACGGGCGGCAGCGCGTCCGAATCGCCGCCCGTCCTCGTCATGGCCGACGCCCTCCGCGACCGAACCGGCGACACCGCCACCGTCCTCGTCGTCCGCGACCGGCGCAACGGCAAGGGCGTCGCGTCGCCCGTGAGCGTCCGCATCGTCGAAGAGCTCGCCGGCCACGCCCGCATCCGCGCCGATCTCCGCCCGGGCGACCTCCTCGTCGCGGGCGATACCGATATCGCCGAAGGCCAGCGCGTCACGCTCGCCCAGCTCAGCAAAGGGGGCACGAAATGAGCTTCATCACCTGCAAAGACCTCGTCCGCGAGTACACCAAGGGCGAGAACACCATCCGCCCCCTCGACGGCCTCGACCTGAGCGTCGAGCGCGGCGACTTCCTCGCCCTCATGGGCCCCTCCGGCTCCGGCAAGACCACCCTCCTCAACCTCATCGCCGGCATCGACACGCCCACCTCGGGCTCGCTCGTCGTCGAGGGCCAGGACATCGCCAGGCTCTCCCGCGCCAAGCTCGCGGACTGGCGCTCCAAAAACGTCGGCTACGTCTTCCAGCTCTACAACCTCGTCCCCGTCCTCACTGCCTACGAGAACGTCGAGCTCCCCCTGCTCATCCACCCGCTCTCGCGCCGGGAGCGCCACGATCGCGTCTCCCGTGCGCTGGAGCGGGTGGGTATCTCGGACCGCGCCGACCACTTCCCCCGCCAGCTCTCCGGCGGCCAGGAGCAGCGCGTCGCCATCGCCCGCGCCATCGTCACCGACCCCGCCATCCTCGTCGCCGACGAGCCGACCGGAGACCTCGACAAAGTTTCCGCCGACGCCATCATGGCCCTCCTCGTCCAGCTCAACGAAGAAACCGGCGCCACCGTCGTCATGGTTACCCACGACCCCGCCACCACCAACTACGCCAAACGAACACTCCACCTCGACAAGGGGCAGCTCGTCACGGAAACCGAGGCCGTCTCATGAAGTACGCCGCGTTCATCCCGCTCATCCTCAAGCAGGTCTGGCGCCACCGCGTGCGCACCATCCTCACCGCCGCCGGCATCGCCATCGCCATGTTCCTCTTCACCTCCGTCCAGGCCATGCAACGAGGCGTCACACTCGCCACGCAGGAAAAGGCCAACGAGACCACCCTCGTCGTCTACCGCAAGGACCGCTACTGCCCCGCGACGAGCGTCCTCCCGCAGGACTACGTCTCCCGCATCTCGCGCATCGAGGGCGTCGTCTCCGCCGTGCCCGTCAAAGTCGTCGTCTCCAACTGCCGCACGTCCCTCGACGTCGTCACCTTCCGCGGCGTCCCCAAAGACGCCTTCCTCGACGAGAAGCGCAACAAGATCGAGATCATCGCCGGCTCCATCGAAGACTGGAACCGGCGCACCGACGCCGCGCTGCTCGGAGAGACCCTCGCCACCCGCCGAGGCCTCAAGCCCGGCATGACGTTCGACGCCGCGGGCATCACCGCGTACGTCGCCGGCGTCGTCCGCTCGGACGACCCGCAGGACCACAACGTCGCGTACACCTCGCTCGAGTTCGTCCAGCTCGCCGGGCGAGACGAGCTGGGCCTCGTCACCCAGTTCAACGTGCGCGTGCAGGACTCGGGCACGCTCGACCGCGTCGCGAGCGACATCGACGAGATGTTCCGCACCGCGCAGGAGCCCACCGCGACGTTCACCGAAAAAGCCTTCGTCGGCCGCATCGCGGACGACATCATCGAGCTCGTCGGCTTCGCCCGCTGGCTCGGGCTCGGCTGCCTCCTCGCCGTCCTCGCGCTCGTCGGCAACGCGATCGTCCTCTCGGTCCAGTCGCGCGTCGCCGAGCACGCCGTCCTCCAGACCCTCGGCTTCCGCGGGACGATCATCGCGTGGCTCATCGTGGGCGAGGGCGTCGTCATCGCGCTCGCCGGCGGCGCGCTCGGGGCCTTCGGCGCGCTCGCCGTCACCGAGTACTCCTCCTTCGCCCTCTCCGTCGAGGGCCAGTCCATCCCCATCGTCGCCGACGCGGGCCTCCTCGCCACCGGCATGCTCATCTGCTCCGCCCTGGCCGTCGCCGCCGGGCTCGTCCCCGCGATCCAGGCCTCCCGCCGCGAGATCGCCTCGTGCTTCCGGGCGGTCTGATCAATATGAAACTCCGCCAGCTCCCATTCGACTACGCCTTCCGCAACCTCGGACGCTCGCGCGTGCGCCTCGCCGCCTCGCTCCTCGGCGCCGCCCTCGTCGTCATCCTCGTCCTCGCCTCCACCGGCTTCGTCCGAGGCATGCAGCTCACGCTCACGCAAGCCGCGCCGCTCCACGAGAACGTCATCATCCTCGGCACCGGCTCCGAGGAGGGCATCGAGCGCTCGCAGATCGATTCCGCCGTCGAGTCCATCGCCGCCGCGAGCATCCCGGGCATCAAGGAAACCGCCGGCGAGCTCTACGTCTCCCCCGAGATCCACATGGCCCTCCCCCTCCGCGAGGACGCGAGCTCGACGAAGGACCTCAACGCCGTCCTCCGGGGCGTCCGCGACGTCGCCCTGCTCGTCCACCCGGAACTCGAGATCGTCGAGGGCCGCTTCCCGCGGGGCGGCGAGGAAGAAATCATGGTCGGCGCGCTCGCCGCCACACGACTGGGCGTGCCCAACGAACGCCTTGCCATCGGGAACACCCTCTGGTTCGACAACCGCGCCTGGACCATCGTCGGGAAGTTCGACGCGCCCAACACCGTCATGAACGCCGAGATCTGGCTCCCCATCACGGACCTCCAGATCGCCACCAAGCGCGAGGCCTCGATCAGCTGCGTCGTCGTTTCGCTCGGCGAAGACGGTGCCTTTGCCGAGGCCGACTTCTTCGCCAAAAGCCGCCTCGACCTCGAGATCACCGCCGTCCGCGAATCGACCTACTACAGCTCCATCGCCGAGTTCTACCGACCCATCCGCGTCATGATCATCATCACCGCGCTGCTCATCGCGTCGGGAGGCATCCTGGGCGGGCTCAACACCATGTACGCCGCGTTCGCCGCCCGCGTCCGCGAGGTCGGCATGCTCCAGGCGCTCGGCTACACACGCAGCGCCATCGTCGTGAGCCTCACCGAGGAATCCCTCTTCGCCGCCGCCATCGGCGCCGTCCTCGGGCTCGCCGTCGGCCTCGCCTTCCTCGACGGCCTCGCCGTCCGTTTCTCCATGGGCGCCTTCGCCCTCACCCTCGACCCACCCGTCCTCCTCACCGGCATCGCCGGCGGCCTCGCCGTCGGCCTCATCGGCGCGCTCCCGCCCGCCGTCCGGTGCCTCCGCCTTCCCATCACCGAAGCCCTGAAATCACACTGACCATCACCCGTACACTTCAATGAACCGAACAAGGAGCAAAACCATGCACAAAGCACTCCCAATCGCCGCCCTCGCCGCCCTCGCCGCCCTCCTCCCCCTCGCCGCCTGCAACGAGGCCGCGGACGATTCCGCCTCCACTTCGACCAGCACCCAGCAGCCCGCCACCACCAGCGCCTCCCCCGAATGGCTCCTCGCCTCGATGCCCGCAGACGCGATGACCGTTGTCCAGGCCCGCGAATCCGCGAAAGAGGGCGACTCCATCACCCTCACCGGACTCATCGGCGGACGAATGGACGCACTCGGAACCGAATCGAGCGTCTTCGTCCTCATCGACGAGTCCGTCCCCAACCCCTGCGTGAGCGAGGGCGACGGTCACTGCGGCACCCCCTGGGACTACTGCTGCACGAGCCGCGAGGAGATCGCCGCCGCGAACGCCTCCGTCCGCCTCGTCGGCGCCGACGGCAAGATGCTCAACAAGAACCTCCGCGACTTCGGCATCGAGGAGCTCGACAAGGTCGTGATCGTCGGATCCGTCGACGCCAGGCCCACCCCCGAGGTCCTCAACATCAAGGCGGAGAAGATCTACGTCGCGTCCAATTGACCGCACAGACCCCGACTTCCCGAAAAACTTGTTCCATCTCTGAAATCGACGCCCGCTCCTTCCCCCAAACGCGTCAGGATGGGGGGCGCGCCAGGGCACGACGACGCTGTGACGTGCGCCCCCGCGACCCGCCCCCCCGCGCGATCAAGGAGGAACGATGCGCCGCCGCCCACAAGCCCTCGCCGCCGCACTCCTTCTTGCCCTCTTCACGCCGCACGCGAACGCCTCCCCCGAGGCCCTCCGCGCCTACCAGACCGCCAACGGCCTCCTCGCCAAGGGCCACCACGACCTCGCCATCCCCGAATACGAAACATTCCTGACGGCCCTGCCCGACCACGAGCAGGCCGACACCGCGCGCTACGGCCTCGCCGTCTGCCTCCACCGCACGGGCGAGTTCGCGGAGGCCCTCGAGACGCTCAACGAGATCGACGCCAGCTCCGCCTTCCGATTCGCCAGCGAGTCCGCCCTCCTCACCGCCGACTGCGCCCTCCGCCTGGGCGAGCCCGAGGACGCCGCCCGCGCCATCCAATCGGCGCTCGCCACCGCCCGCGGGTCCACCGCCGCCCGCATGCGCGCCCTCCTCGTCGAGGCCCACCACCGCGCGGGCGAGCACCAGCTCGCCGTCGACGCCGCACGAGACGCCCTCCGCGCGGACCCGGGCAACCGGCGCGTCCGCGCCCTCGCCGGCCGCTCGAGCGTCGCCCTGGGCGACGACGCCGGCGCCATCCGCTACCTCGAGCCCCTCGCCGAGTCGGAATCGCAGGACTCGCTCGCCTGCTCCGCCATGCTCACCTGCGCCCAGGCGCACCACCGCGCCGGCAACACGGACAAGGCGCTGGCGTACTACGACACCCTCCTCACCAAGCCCTTCCCCGAGCTCCTCGCCCCCGCCATGCTCGGCGCCGCGCAGCTCTCGCGCGAAGCGGGGAATACCGACCGCGCCGCCGCGCTGCTGGAGCGCCTCATCGGCTTCGATCTCGACACCCCGACGGAGAACGCCGCCCGCTACGAGCTGGGCCTCGCCCGCTTCGCGCAGGAGCGCTACGCGGACGCCATCAAAGAATTCGAGCGCGTCGGAGAAGGGGCGCTCGAACACAACGCGACGTTCTGGGCCGCCAAGGCCGCCCTGCGCTCGGGGGACGCGCAGCGCGCCGAGGCGGCCCTGAGCGGCGCAATCGAGGCCGACCACGAAGGCGAATACGCGAGCGAGATGCGCTACGAGCGCGCCGTCGCCCTCGCCCGCTCCGGCAAGCACGACGAGGCCGCCGCCGCCTTCGAGGCATTCCTCGAAGCCAACCCGCGCCACGCCCTCGCGCCGGACGCCCTCCACGCCCTCGCCGCGCACCACCTCCGCACCGGCGAGTACCGCGAAGCCGCGGACGCCTGCGATTCGTTCGACCGCCTCACGCGCGACCACCCCAGGAGCGCCGACGTCGCCTTCCTCCGCGCCGAAGCCCTCCACCTCGCGGGCGACACCCGCGCCGCCCTCCGCGCGACAGACGCCTTCCTGCGCACGCACCCCGAACACCCCCGCGCCGCCGACGCCCGCTTCCGTCGCGGCCTCGCGCTGCACGATTCCGGGCGATCCCGCGACGCACTGGAAGACCTCCGCGCCGCCGCGGACTCCGGAAACCCGAGGCACGCCCCCGCGGTCCTCGCCCTCGCGCAGATCGCCGAGGCGGACGAGCAGTGGGGGACCGCCGCCGAGCGCTACACGTCGTACGCCGCCCTCGCGACCGACGCGAGCGCGAAGCACGACGCGACCCTCCGCGCCGCACTCGCCCAGCTCCGCGCGGGCGAGACGGACGCCGCCATCGAAAGCCTCACCGCCCTCGACCGCGACGCGTCCGCGTCGCAAACCGTCCGCGACCGCGCCCTCTTCGAGCTGGGCCAGGCCCGCCTCGCGCAGGACGACGACGAAGCCGCCAAGCGCGCCTTCGAGCGCCTCGTCGCCCGCACGCCGGGCGGCGACCTCGCCCCGCACGCCTACCGCCACCTGGGCGACCTCGCGATGCGCACGGGCGAGAGCGACAGGGCCGCGCAGTTCTTCAACAGCGCCGGCGCGGGCAACGCCGACGCCCCCAACCTCGCCCTCCGCCGCGCCCGCGCCGCCCTCGCCTCGGGCGACGCGAAAACCGCGAAAGACCTCGCCGAGCAGCTCACGAGCGGCAGCGCGGACACCGAGACCGACCGACGCGCCCGCGCCGTCCTCGTCCTCGCGCTGGCGCGCCTGGGCGAGCACGACCGCGTCCTGACCGAGCTCCGTCGCATCGACAACCCGAACGCCCTGGACGAGGCCGAGCGCCGCGCCCTCGAGCTCGCCGGCGCCAACGCCCTCCGTGTGAACGGCGAAGCGAGAAACGCCAAGCGCGTCTACCGCAAGCTCGTCGACGAGCGCACGAGCGACGCCATCGGCGCGCACGCCGCCGTCGAACTCGCCGCCATGCTCATCGACGAGGGCGACGAAGACGACGCCCGCGACCTCCTCGCCGCCATCGACACCGCCGAGACGCCCGCGATCGACGCCCGCGCCACCTACCTCCGCGCCGCCGCCGCCCACCGCGCCGGCGACATGAACGCCGTCGCGGACCTCCTCGAAGGCTTCGCCGAGATGCACGCCGGCGAAACCCTCGTCCCCCGCGCCGCCCTTCTCCAGGGCGACGCCCTGCTCACGCTCGGCAGCGCCGCTCGCGCCGCCCGCGCCCTCGAACCCGCCCTCGACGAATCCAACCCCGCTTCGGTCCGAGGCCCCGCCCTCCTCCGCGCGGGCGAAGCGCACGCCGCCGCGCAGAACTGGCCCGCCAGCCTCGCCGCGTACGACGCCCACCGCGCCGCCTTCCCGGACGACCCGCTCAAATTCGACGCCCAGTTCGGCCGCGCCCGCGCGAGCGAGCATCTGGGCGAGCACGCCGTGGCGATCGAGCGCTACCGCATCGTCGCCGACGGCCACACCGGCGAACTCGCCGCGCACGCCCTCTTCCAGATCGGCGAGTGCCTCTTCGCGCAGAACAAGCACGAAGAGGCCGTCCGCGAGTTCCTCCGCATCGGCATCCTCTTCGACGCGCCAGAATGGGCCAGCGCCGGGCTCTACGAGGCCGGCCGCTGCTTCGAGATGCTCAACCGCGCCGGAGAAGCCCGCGCGCAGTACCGCGAAGTCATCGAGAAATTCCCCGACACCGCCTGGGCCGTCCCCGCGCAGGAGCGACTCGACGCCCTCGCCGCACGCACCCGCCTCCCGGGCCGCGGCAGCTAGCTTTTCACCCACGGAGATTCGTCGTGATCCACCCATTGCTCGCCCAAGCCGCCGACGCCGGCACGCCCACCATCCTCGAGCTCATCGAGAAGGGCGGCATCATGATGATCCCCATCGGGGTCTGCTCCCTCCTCGTCGTCGCGATCTGCCTCGAGCGCATGACGATCATCCGCCCCTCGCGCGTCGTCCCCAGGGGCTTCGTCAAGGCCTTCCACAAGGCGATGAAGCCGGGCCACCGCACGCAGGCCGAGGCCACCGAACTCTGCAAGAAAAACGGCTCCCCCGCCGCCCGCTTCCTCGCCACCGGCCTCGAGAAACTCGGCCACGCGCACGAGATCGTCGAGAAACACCTCGCCGCGCAGGGCGAGACCGAGGTCTACACCCTCCGACGCCGCCTCCGGGGATTGAGCGTCATCGCCGCCGTCGCGCCGCTGCTGGGCCTCACCGGCACCATCTTCGGCATGATCCGCGCCTTCCAGACCGTCGCCGCCAGCGCCGACACGCTGGGACGCGCCGAGCTCCTCGCCGAGGGCATCTACGAGGCGATGATCACGACCGCCGCGGGCCTCCTCGTCGCCATGCCCGCCCTCGTGATCTACCACTGGCTCATGGGTCGCGTGGAACGCAGCGCCCGCGCGCTCGACGCGCTCGGCATCGCCTTCATGGAGCGCTACGTCCTCGAGCCCCTCGACGACACGACGCGCCTCTCGCTCACGACCGAGAGCGAAGCCGAAGTGAAGCCCGCCCCCGTCGCGGAGGGCGCCCGCTCATGATCGTCAAGTGGGACCAGACCGAGCACGGCCCCTCCATCGAGATGACCCCCATCATCGACATGGTCTTCCTCCTGCTCATCTTCTTTCTCGTTGCCACCACCTTTCAGCAGGAAGAGCGCGAGATGCAGATCGCCCTCCCGCAGGCCGAGGCCGCCGGGCCCATCTCCCTCGCGTTGCGCGAGATCGTCGTGAACGTCTCGAACGACGGCGCCATCGTCGTCGGCGGGCAGACGATGGAGCTCGAAGCGCTCCGCTCACTCGTCGCGCAGGCGACGGAGACCAACCCGGATCAGAAGGTCACCGTCCGGGGAGACCGCGACGCCTCCTACGGCGCCGTCGCCCGCGTGCTCGACGTCTGCAAGGCGTCCGGCGTCCAGGAACCCTTCCTCGACACGGTCCCCATCCGATAGGAGCGAGTTCCCATGCCCGGCGCATCACGCATCGCGACCGCGCTCCTCGGCCTCGGCGCCGCCGCGTCCGTCATCGGCGCGGCCGCCTGGTGGGCCACCGCCGACCGCAGCGCGTTCTACACGGACGGCGACGCCATCCGCGCCAACATCGAGACCTCCTCCCCGCGCGACATCCTCTGGACACCCCCCGAGCCCTTCGACGCCCCCGTCCACACCGACCGCGACGAGTTCGACGCCGCCTTCACCACCGACGGCGACACCCTCTACCTGGCGCGCACATCCGCGAACGGCGACGCCGATCTCTTCGTCTCGCGCCGAGCCAACGGCGCGTGGTCGAACCCCGAACCACTGGATCCGATCAACACGCCCGACCAGGAACTCGCCCCGCGCCCCTCGCCCGACGGCGAATGGCTCTACTTCGCCTCCGACCGCCCGGGCAGCGCGGGCGGGTACGACATCTACCGTGCGCCCCTCTCGGACACCGGCCCCGGCGAGCCCGAGCGCCTCGGCGAAGCCATCAACTCGCCCGC